GTGTGAAGCTAGACTCCTTGTTGATTCCTTTCCACGTGCCTTTTAGGAGTATGCCTGTATCCGTCAGTCAGACAAAAAACCCTCACTACCATCCTTGAGGGAACCCCTCCCCTCCTAAAGACCTATTAAATTTTCCATTCTATCATGTGCCTTCTCCAGTGTGTTGTCAACGTTGCTGTTAGACAGCTCACCTCATAGGCTGGTAGCAGATGTTCTGCCCTGATTATTTGTCTCAGTGCCTTAATCGCATTTCTATCTTACATTGAAACACTTTTAGGGCTTTTCTCTTGCCTCTAAGGCCATATGAGCATATAGCATTTTCATTTTGGGTATAGTTTATCCAGCTGCAAGCATCCATCCAGTGGTTTGCTCCCTGGAACATGCCTTTGTTCTTTCTCACTGTTGGTCAGGAGGGAGGAAGGCACACTGTGGCGCACCCTCTGATCAGCCACTTCATGAGTAGTCCTGAGTCCTATGGCACTTCAGAAAGGAATCTCACAATCCACTCCACTTACTGGTCAGAGATTGCCCTGTGGATGTGAGCTCCCTGGACTTCCAGGTGGTGAATGAGTAAACGCCAAGCCCGAGTTTTCTGGTGGGCCTGTCTGGGTCAGCCATGGCCTACAAGAAACTGATCTACAGCTGGAGTAGCAGCAGGTCAGGTGAAGAGGTCTTGGAAGTGATGCACATGCGGTAATCCATACCTGGGTTCATAATGGCAAAAGATCCAGAGGGTACAGTGACAAGTATCTCTTTGCCTAGATTAGCACTGGCTGGTTTGTTTGCTTGTTTGTTTGTTTGGGTGTATAAGGTTTTGTTGAAATAGAATCAAACATTCATTTTGTTTTAAGTATTATCTACAGCTGCTCTGAAGTTAAAGCAGCAGAGTTGAATAATTACCTTTTTTTAAAAGAAGAAAAACTTTGCTGACCTTGTTTTAGTAATTCAGTTCGCTCTCTCGAAATAATCTTTACTTGTTTCTTGGGGTTTGGGGTGCACTTATCGTGTCCGTATCATGTCTACCTACTCCCTTCCCTCCACACCTATCTCTTTCCCCCATGGGAGGCATTTCAACTAAAGTATCCTAATAGTTTTTCTGTATTAGTTACCTATAGAACATTCTTATAGTCTTGTAGTTCCATAATAATCTTCAAATTTTTTATTACATTTAAGTGTGTTCATGTGTGTGTAGGGGGCGGACACATGTGCCACAGGCATGCATATAGAAGTCAGAGGACAAGTGGTGGGAGTCAGTTCTCTTTTTCCACCATGTGAGTTCAAAGGATCAAGCTCCATTCATCAGGCTTGGTGAAGCTCCATAATATTCTTTTATATAAATCTACCACTTAATAAACCCGTACTGACTGGAACATTTATTTTGTCATATCTTTATCACCCGCTTTTCATTGATTCATACAGAATCCTCAGCCCCAGGTGTTTCTGTCCTCACCTGTGCTGGCATCACCTGCTGCCATGACTCCTGGTAGCTGTGCCTTTGGCTGGATTTTAGGGGCTGGCATGATAAGGGCTGGCATTCTAGGATGAGCGCTGCTCAGGAGGTTCTTAGCTAGATCTTGAGGAATCTGGATGAAGGGGAATAATGAAAAGCAAGTGGAAGTTTGATTGTGTGAGGCTTGTGGTCAGCAATGGCGACGTCCTAGCTGCTGTAACTCTGAGCCACGGGTGAGGAGTCAGTGCACATGAGTTTGAAGGCAGTATAGAAGCGTTAAACTATGTCATGGCAATTTGAAAAATGTTGCTATAGATGATGGTAGGGTTTGGGTGTATTGGGTTCAATTATTACTAAAAATAATTCTACTCATTTTTTTTTCTTAAATGGGAAGTTACTGTTGGAAAATATATAATTACATTGTGAGTCTAACTTTTGTGACTTGAGGTATTTTTAAATATTTTTATTATTTTATATGTATGAGTGTACTGTCTGCATGTATGTGAGTGTACCTGTGTCGTGCAATGCCGCAGTAGTCAGAAGAAGGTGTTGGATTCCCCTGGACTGGAGTTAAGGACGGTTCGTAGCTGCCATGTGGGTACTGGGAATCGAACCTGTGTCCTTTGCAAGAGCAGTCAATGCTCTTAACTGCTTAGCCATCTCTCCAGCCCCGGCTTGCGGTATTTTGTATGAAGCAGGGCTGTGCTGGTTTCTTCAGGAGAGAAGGTTTGTTTTGGGGGCTGGTGTGTTTGGATGGGAGATTACAGTTACAGTTCAGGGCTTGCATTTCGTGGTCTAGGTATTTAAAAAAAAAAAAAAAAACAGGCATCATTTCCATAATGAAGCAGCATGGGGTAGTGAGTTCCAGGAAGGTTAGGAGGCTGGTCATGTTTCGTGGTGCTTATTGTAGATGTAGTAAGGTCTTTCCTCAGGTCTTCATCTGAAACCCACAGCAATCCTGGGGTATACCTGCCTTGGTTTTCAGGTGGACTTGAGTCACAAGTAATGCTTCCACATGGTGAGCAATAAATGAATGCTAACTGATCATTTCCTGACTCAATATTTTAATTAAAAAAAAAATTTCTTCACCTGCAGAGTGTGGTGGTGCACACTGTTAATTCTAGCACTTGGGAGGTAAGGGCAGGCAGATCTCAGTGAGTTCCAGGCCAGGGCTAGATAGTGAGACCATGTCTCAAAAAAGGAAAATAAAAATCCTCTTTGTCTTCACAATATTTTTATAAATTTCTTCAGTTTTTATTACCATGGTTTGTGGTTTAATACATTAGTATGATTTTGGCCATCTATGACTTACTTAAATGTGACAAAAGCTATAAATTGAGCTTTCTTGTCTTCTCTGTGTAGAAAAGTTTTGAGACTAGGAGAGTTGTATTTGTTTTACTTTGTTGTAATTTTTCATTTTTTATTTTTATTTTTTTATTTATTTATTTGGTCTTTTGAGACAGAGTCTGTCTGTAGGAACTCACTATGTAGAACAGGTTGGCCTTGAACTCACAGAGATTCACCTGCCTCTGTCTTCCAAGTGCTGGGACTACAGGCGTGCACCACCACGCCCAGCTCTTTTGTTGTATTTTTAAAAAAATGTTTTTACAACTATTATTTTGTGTGTGTGTGTGTGTGTGTGTGTGTGTGTGTGTGCGCACGCACGTGTGCATGCACACGCTTGCATATGTGGGCATGCATGTATGCATAGATGTCTGAGGACAACTTGCAGGAGTCAGTTGGTTTTTTCTTTCCACCGTGTGAGTCTTAGGGGATCAAACTCAGGTTATTAGGCTTGGCAGCAAGTGCCTTTACCTACTGAGCCATCTCACTGGCCCTTTAAAAAATTTTTTTGCCTGTGTGTATTTGTGTGAATGTCTACCACGTGTGTGGAGGTGCCAAAAGAGTGTGTCAGATCTTTTGGAACTAGAGTTACAGGTCTTTGTAAGATGCCTGTGCCGGGATTGGAACTCAGGTTCCTTTAAAGAGCGGGAAGTACGCTTAGCCACTGAACCTGTCTCTAGCCGCTTTTCTTTGTTGGGCCCTGCTGATTTCTGTCTCCTTCCAGTTTTAATGTGTGTGTTGCTGAAGTGAGCACCCTTTGTTGTATTCTTCTTTTTTTAACCAATTTTTAAAGAACCTTTCTTATTTTTTTATGTATTTGAGTGTTTTGCCCTTTGTAATATACGATGCTCTTGTTTGTGCTTTGTCCAAAACATGTCCTCAGGTTTACCTTTTTTAAAATTTCCTAAATTTCTAGAGATTAAAGATTAAAGGTCAGCTATGAGAATCGAAAGAGTCCCTTGGCAGTGGTTTGTCTAGCCTGAGTTTCTCAACCTGGAGACTGTGGCGCCTTGCCTAGATCTTTGTGTTGAAGGCTTCTCTAGTCTCTCCTCACTAGGCGCCAGTAGCTTCCTTCAGTTGTGACAACCAAAAGCCTCCTCACATCACCAGTCACTGAATGGGAACACTGTGCGGCCCATCTTCACTGAGAGTGATTTTCTGGGGACGTCTGATTTGGAGAAGGGTATTTAACCACTTTGTCACAGCTTGAGTCTCAAAGGGGGCGGCGGCTCTTAGCATAAAGGACCTTTCTTGATCTGCCCTTTTAGACTGTATAAAGTTTATAGAGCTGCATAACTTTCTCAGTTGCTGAAACATAGACACCCTGCCCTTCCGATGGTCTCATCTGCTTGCCTCTGAGTCCCAGCCAGCAAACTCTATTAATAATAAGCCAGGAAGTATTTTAGGTATCACAGGTTGTATCTCTGTAGGTTTCATAAAATCTCTGCTGTATACACATCCTTAATAGTTTTCTGCCTTCCTTTTATTCTTCCCTCCCTTCCTCTGTTCCTCCCTCCCCTTCTCTTATTTTTTACAACCTCTTACAAATGTCAACAACAGGCTAGATTCGGCCTCTGTATTAGCTTACCAAGCCCTCGTTTTTAGAACCTCTTTCCATATCTGGTGATCTTTAGAGCCTTCTTAATGTGCAGGGCTTCAGAACTTTCCTAAGGACTTTGGGAAAAGTTAAGGAGCACAGAAAGCTGTCAGTAACTCTCCAGCCTAGGGCGTATTGTTTCTTTTTAGTGTTATCACGTTAATATCAACTGAGACTGCTTGGTTTTTTATCACATTACTACCTTTGAGGATATTTTTAGACTTCATTGTAGGACCATCTGCATATCCAGCTATATTAAACCTCATCTTAGTGCCAGTTCTGGCTGGAGCCTGTGAGAATTTTCTGGATCCTATCTTGTCCTTTAGAGTGTCAGTAACAGGTCTCTCCGCTTATTATCTTATCAATGAAGGTTTGAGAAAAACATCTGGGTCTTCAGGGTCATTTTAGTGTTTGGACATAGCTTGGCTGTACCCTTCTGAGTTGTTTATGGAGAGAGCTGCATTACAGCAATGACTTTCAGAATTATAAAGCAGTGAATCAGTAGAATGACCATGCAAAAAAATGGACTCTTAATCATTTTCAAAATAAAAGAATGTTAGTGACTTTTTCAAAAAAAGTAAATGATTTTTTTTTTTTTTTAAATTTCAGAAAGGATTTACACCAGCAGCCCCAGTTCATACGAGCAAGGAAGATGCAGCCACACAAACGAATCTGGGGTTTATCCATGCATTTGTTGCTGCCATATCAGTCATCATTGTCTCTGAACTGGGTGACAAGACATTTTTCATAGCGGCCATCATGGCGATGCGTTATAACCGCCTGACCGTGCTGGCTGGTGCCATGCTGGCCTTGGCCCTGATGACGTGCTTGTCGGGTAAGGGTCCTTCCCCAGGGAGCGCGCTGAACTGGGGGAAGTTCTGGTGTGTGGAGTAGAGTCATCCAGTCATTCACCTGGTTCCATCCTGGTAAAGAGCAACTGGGTCCAGTACATTGATTGTTAAAGGCTAGACTTCACTTTTTAAATGGAAGTTTTATCTATTCATAGTCAAGACACTTGATTTTGTCATTTGTTCGTGGTGGTTTTTATCCTTAATTTTATTCAGTTCAGGTTTTTTTTTCCCTCCTTCTCTTCAGTCTAAATAAGCTTACTTATATTTGAAAATTTTAGAAACAGGCTCTAAAAACCCACAGAAAACTGCATTTTTTTTTTCCTAAAGGAATTTGAGGGGTAATAACTGAGAAGTAGCTTTTAGTTTATTAAGTCTTTTTTTTTTAACCAACCCACTGTGGAAAGGAATGAAACATTCTTTAGTCTCCCTATTTGTGTTACTATTTGATTTACTACTTTATAGGATTTAATTTTTCAAGTATTAGATCACAAGATAGTCAACACTAAAATAACTGAGCATCATGTAGGTGCTAATTCAGAGCTATACCTCAAGCCACATGGTTTGTTGGAAAACTGCTTTTCCCTTTGAGCCGTACTTGGGCTTGAGTCTGACTTGCCATATCTTAACCTAGTAAGTTATTTAATTTCATTGAGCTTTGGCTTCCCTGACTGTAAAGTTCAGATAATAGTATCTGTCTGCCTAATGGGATCTGGTCTATAGTAATGAAATATTTTGTTTAGAGGGCTTTGCCATTTACCTTATCTGGCTATCTTGTGCATGGATATTTACTTAGGCTTGTGTTTTTATAAACACAACTGCTGCAAATGTTTGAAATTTGAATACCTTTCATATTTTGGAAGTTAGCATAGGTATTAATACTTATCAGTAGCAACTAGTTTTCTCTTCAGAACTAATGTATTGAGGAAGAGGGGTCAGAAAGATTTTAAGAGGGGAGGACCAGAGTGAGAGAGTATCTTCTGGACACTACTAGACCACTGCACTCATGAACTTAAGCAGCTAGGGCTGCCTGCACAAGATCAAACCAGTCAGCATTCTAGCGTGGAATGAGGAGGGCTTCCAAGTTCCTGCCCTGAACTGAGAAGCTCTGGACAGTTGATGACTTATGGAGGAGGGAGAATCTGTTTTGAGCGTGGCCCCTGGTAGGTTGACGGTGCCTCTCACAGAAGTGTACGGACAGTACAAATTGGTCTGGATGGGTTATTTCAAAAACCAACATGAAATTGGGGGTGAGGCGGTGGAAGTGGATCTGGGAAGAGTTGTGGGATAAACAAGGGGCATATATGATCAATATACATTATATGATAGTTCCCATAATTTTTAAGTAATGTAGATTATAGGGAATAGGAGAGCTGAAAGTGGTGACATCACTCAATTTGGGATGAGTTTGGACAGGACAGTGTCAGAAATGTATTGCTGATGCTTGCTTGCTGCTTCAAGCTGTCCCATCTTTGCGCACCCATTCCCAGTTGTAGAACGCAGCTCCGTCAGTTCTCCCATCTCTTCTGTGTGATTAATTACTTCCCCTCAGCGCTAATGTAGGCCATCTCCTCTGCCCTAACCTTTACCTGCTCCTGCCGGGGGCTGCCTGACAGCTCTTCTTCTTAATCTTTGTGAATAGTCCCTATCAGGCACCTAGAAGTCTTTTTGTACTTGCTCTGAAGTTATCTAAAATACACATTCTTCTAACACAAATTTAAGGTCCTACAAAGATCTAATTTCTGATATATTATGTAAAGCAAAGTAGCTAATGGTGTTTTAAAATTTGCCCACTGCAAGGCTGGAGCGATGGCTCAGTGGGTAAGAGCACTTGCTGTGCAAGCATGAGGACCTGTGTTTGAGTTCAGAGCTCCTGAGTTAAGTATTATAAAACATGTACTGAACTGTTAGAAAAATGACTTTTAATGATTTATGAAGTGACAGCTAACTCAGTAAGGTCTTGTCATTTTTGTTGCAAGCAAAGAATTTGAAACCATCAGATTTCAAAAACCAAAAAGTTTTTCTGAAATTTACCAAATTGCTATTTTTGTTTTTGTTTTGTTTTGTTTTGTTTTGTTTTTGAGACAGGGTCTCCTTGTATCCCCAGCTGGCCTGAAGTTGCTAAGTAGACCAGGCTGGCCTCAAACTCAGAGAGCTCTGTCTGCCTCTGCCTCCTGAGTGCTGGGTTTAAAGGTGTGCACCACCATGCCTGGGTAATTACTGTTTTTAATGCATGGTCATCTTACTTAGACTCATAAGGACTTTGTTTAGCCGAATGTGCTTAGAAATCGTTGAGAAAACTGAAATATCAACTTTAGTGTACTGTTGCCAGTGATGTGCTGTTAGAGAAAAAGTCTCCAAAGAAAAGGGAAAGAGAGGGACAGGAAACAAGAGGGAGAAAACCCACTTCTGATCCCACAGGAAGTTTTGCTCCCTGTAGAGAAGCTGGTGTAGAAACTGCTTTCAGCTGGCCGCAACTTAACCGTGGTCTCACTTGCTACAGTTCCAGCTGTCTGCAGACAACTGTACTCCAAAAATCTTTGGTGGGAAATTCTACAGAAACACAATTCATGTTTGAAATGGCACACTGGTCTGAGTAGTGTGATGAAATCAGTTTCCCTTCTACCAGCTACTTTTGTTTAGTGTGAATCCATGTTATGCGCCACACCAGTACTTAGCAGTTGCCTTGATTTTCAGATCTTCTGCTGGGGTGTTTTTTGTCCTTTTCATAGACAGAGATAGAAAATGTATACCCATATTATTGGTGTTTATATACAAATCTATAAGGTCCTTTGCAAGAGAAGTCAGAGCTCTTAACTGCTGAGCCATTTCTTCAGCCCCTAGTTGTTATTTTTAAATCTAAAATATTACCTAGGTTTTTACTTTTTATGTTTTATGGTAGCAGGTTTTAAAGACTAGTATCTCCACCCGCCCCTTTAATGACTGTTCTTTTGTGTCAGATGTTCCTCGTAAACTGCAGTTGTGCATTCTTGACTAGACATTGTGCCCCTAAGAGCATCCCGTGGAAGCACGCCGTGTCCATTTTCTCCTCACTGGCATTTCGTTTTGCTCACCCAGTCCAGGTTTTTCTTACTGTGTCTTCTCTTGCAGTGGGGAGACACTTTAATATAAATACCCTGTTCCTTATCAGAGTTTCCCCATAGGTTTAGTGCAGTTCTTGTCCCTTGCTGCTTTCAGAATAGCTTCCTAATCCCAGCATCTGCTCCACACTTAGCAGTGAGCTGGCCTTCTGCTATAAGCAAGATCGCCTCTTCCTCCCCTACTCACTTATCTATTTCCTTTCTTCAGTTTATAGCTACTGAGCTGTTTACTACATTGTCCAGAGTGGCTGGTCAGAGCCTCTCCAGGCTGCTTCTGTGCTTTTGTGACATGCTCTCATCACTGGTTTTTGCCCTTCATTTTACAAAACTAACAAGATACTGCAGGTTTATCCTGTGCCTACTCTAATTTCAGAATTTCCCCAAGAATGGTATTAGAATCCAAGACCTGAATGTGAGGCAGGCTCTTTGTTACTGAAATGTCTTTGTTTTTTTGTCGTTTTCAATAGACAGAAATAGAAAATATATATCCATATTATTGGTGTGTGTATATACATATCTCTAAGGAAATTTAGCTTTATAAGATAAACTCATTTTACATTGGTAAAAAGGAGAGTGTGACATCTTGCCACGAGAGAATCTTGCCATGATTCTTGAGCTTATATTTTAAAGATCTGTGATGAAGAAACAGCCCCTACGTGTGGAGAGAAATGGCTTCCAGTGTGTAAAATCTTGAAATCTGTAGAGGGCATCAAAGTCAGCCTACCTGTCTGCCTTGCACAAAGATAACCCTCTAGCTGGAGGGGAGGTCAGTATCTTGAGAAAGTTCCCTTTAGAAGATCTGCCATCGAAATGGGGTCAGTCATACCTTGGTAAGCTATTAGAGTTTGGCAATCTAAGGGTTTGGTATCGGTGGAAGGAAACAAGCGGAATTGTTTAAGGTCATTACATATTAGAATAGTACTTAATGGGAACTGATCTTCCTTCAACAATGGTGAATTATGATTCTTGAGTTTACTGTTTCTTTGGTCTGTTGTGAGACACACCTGTTAACCAGATATACTGTTGGCATTTACTTACAGTTTTGTTTGGCTATGCCACAACAGTCATCCCCAGGGTGTATACATACTATGTTTCAACTGCACTGTTTGCCATTTTTGGCATTAGAATGCTTCGGGAAGGCTTAAAGATGAGCCCAGATGAAGGTCAAGAGGAACTTGAAGAAGTTCAAGCAGAATTAAAGAAGAAAGATGAAGAAGTAAGTTACCATGGTGGATGCGAGGAGAGTATTTGAGGACTGAACACTGTTGAGGTTTTTCAGTGGTCACCCTGCTTGTGTGCTAGATTAGTTCTTTTCCCCTCTTGGAACTTGGCTGTGATAGGTTTGGGTTACTGTGAATGTGGCAGAGAGGAAAACCTACGAATACTGAACATTGACAGTCAGCTGCATTGGACTGCTTAGAAGCATCTGAATGGTGGCTGCTGTTTCCTGATTTCACATTTTTTCCTGTAGCACTTAAGATACTGATTGATTTTGTTGAGTGGAAGGAGTGAGAATATGGTATGACACTGCATGACACCAGCAGTTAAAGCAGAAATTGGAGAACACATAAATTTATTTTCTTTAGAGTATATTCCATAGACTTTGAATGCTTTTAAAAAGATTAAGTGACTTTATGCTATTTTAATTTGTTTACTAGGGTTAATGTCATTTTTTATTTGTTTCAGTTTCAGAGAACCAAACTCTTAAATGGACCAGATGTTGAAACGGGTACAAGCACAACAATACCTCAGAAAAAGTGGTTGCATTTTATTTCACCCATTTTTGTTCAAGCTCTTACATTAACGTTCTTAGCAGAATGGGGAGATCGCTCTCAACTCACGACAATTGTTTTGGCAGCTAGAGAGGTGAGTGGGGCATGAGAAGGCTGCTTTTGTATTTCAAGAAAGTGGACTGCCACTCTGCTTGGGTACCGTGGTGGGGGGCGGGGTTACTTCCTATTCTCACAGTTTGACATGCGTTCACCTTGCTGCTTCTGGAATTAGCCTCCCAGTTGTTGCCCCCAGTCTGCAGTTCTTGAATACAAATCAAATTATTCTCATTTCATTTTGCTAAGTCCTCTTCCTGTATTTTGCCACAGTAAAGCTGTGTCTTTATTGTTTGGCTTTCTTCCCATGACTTTGTATGCTTGTTGAAGAATGTAAATTGGTAGCACATGCCTGTAATCTTACACAGGAGAACCAGTATGGGCTACATAGTGAGACCATGTCTTAAAAACAAATTAAAAACTATGAATATGGGTATAACAGGGGAACTTGTTCAGCTGTTTAGAAATCTCTGTGTAGCTCTTTGATCACTCATTTTCCAACATCACATCTGACATGCCATGGAGGAATTTTTAAAGGAGGGTTACTTTTATTTATTTACACACACACACAATTTTTTTTTGGTGTTTTTGAGACAGGGTCTTCCTGTACCCCCAGCTGGCCTGGAACTCACTGTGTAAACCAGTCTGGCCTTGAATCTACAGAGCACCACCACACCCAGCTCATTTATATATTTTTAAAGCAATTATTTCCTTTATTGTGTTTATATGAAGTGTGAGTGTGGGTGCATGCCAGAGCACACATGGGGAGGTCAAAAGACTTGTAATCCAGGTCGTCCGGCTCTTATGAAGCCTTTACCTGTGGACCCATCTCACTGGCCTAAGGAGAGTTATTTCTAACATACAGAAAGGAAAATTAGATTCAAGAACATCAAAATGCTTACCTTGGGACTGCTATCCCATAACTTGTTTCTGCATAGAGTATTTCTGTTCCATCTTAGCTCTAGGATACTGAGTGCTAGAATGGCAAGTTAGAAGAGACCTCAGATCATCTCCCAGCCTTTACTCAACAGATGAAGAACCTGAGGCCCAGAGAGATAGGGTGACTTGAGCCAGTACCAAGGCTGGTTGGGAGCAGGAAAGGGTCCGGAAGTGAACTTGGTTTGCCTTGTATTGTAGCCCTTTCGTGTGTGTCTTATTCTTGGGCATCACTTAATATTTAAAAGATTAAAAACTGATGGGGCTGAAGAGATGGTCCAGTGGTTAAGAGCACCGGCTGCTCTTGCAGAAGACCCGGTTTCAATTCCCACCACCCACAGGGTCATCGCTCTACCTTTGCTATCACTCCCTTCCAGTTCATTCTATTGGCCTTTCAGAGCATAAATCTCCCTATGTAAAATAACCAGTCAGTGTCTCAAGACAAAGGCTGACTTCAGAGTTCATAGGGTCTCTTGTAGCAGGGGTTGAACCCTGCTTCCTGGCACACCAGGTATGTTATCCCACCGATCTAACGCAAGGGCTTCTGCTCTCAGGAAGTGCAGCAATACAATAGCATAAAGGTTTATAGTTTTTTTCTGCTTTCGGATGTTGCATTCCAAAGATGCATATTCCTTCAAACAGTGTTACACATTTCATAAAGTTAGAGCATATCTGAATTTTTACAAGTGTTTGTGCTTTTTTGTGGTTCACGTTGACCCTTATTTTCAGTGCTTCTGTTTACTACTGACCTTTCCCATCCTAGCAAATTAATGCTAGTTAATCTGCTTCCAGGATCCCTGTGGTGTAGCAGTGGGTGGAACTGTGGGACACTGCTTATGCACTGGATTGGCGGTAATTGGAGGAAGAATGATAGCACAAAAAATCTCTGTCAGAACTGGTAAGGTCTTGTTTTGATTTTTAAATCAAAAAGCAAGCCATTTGTTCCAATGTTTTAGAGTCATGGAGATACTAGAAATAGGGTGTTAATTTTGACTGTTTTAAGTTTTTTCAGAGTATACATATTTATAATTGTCACCTAGTCCTAGGTATTGTTTCTTAAATGTGACTTCTTTTCCCAGATGTAGAAGTTAGTAAATTACAAATTTACCTGAAATATGATTGAATGCATTTTCTAAGCCAGTGGGGGAAAAAAAGTGGAAGTATGACAATTTGGCCTGAAGTATGTTTAAGTCAGGCAGACCACACATGAGATTTGCTGAACATTTTCAATAAAAGTTAAGTAATTTCGAGGTTAGAATAGGAAATGACTGTTAGGAGTTGAACATTCTCTGTTGTAATTGGGTTTTAAGATGAGCTGCTGTAGCCCACCTGCTGTCAACATTGTTTTAATAGAATCCTCTCTCTAAATAGTACCTAGAGAGAAATCTGGTTATTGCTGCTAAGAGTTAGCCAAATGTTGTTTTTGCTCTGTCAGTGGGGTTGCTGTCAAGTTAGTTTACTAGACCTTCGGAAGAGTGGGCAGCTAGCTTGGTTTTGTTTGTAGTGTCAGGAAATTCTACCTTACTCATCTTTTTTCTCTTTTTTTCCCAGTGACAATCATAGGAGGCATCGTTTTTCTGGCATTCGCATTTTCTGCACTATTTATAAGTCCAGATTCTGGTTTTTAAGAAGCTATTTGTTCATCCGTATTTAGCTTAAGATATGTAACTTGTTTTTCTGTATATAGTGTACAACTAAAAGTAGGAAATACTGTATTTTGTAGCATTAATTTGTAAGCCTGACCTACTTAATGAAAGTATTAGGTCCCAAAGAGATAATCATTGGATCTATTTGTGAAAATTTGAAAAGAAACCTGACTTCTAGGTGTGGATTTTTCTCCAGCATAATTGAACACTTGAAGTCCCCACTTCTGTTTTGATAAATGTGGAACCCTTGTGCAGTCGGATCTACCGCTTGATTTGTCTTTCAGCATGGCCCTTTATAAAGAATACACATTTTTTCCTTGGTAACGGAGGTATTTTAAATGTTTACCTTAAATATTTCCTTGGAGGAAAGATGAAATAATTTCTACTTTTAAAAACATACTCCTGAGCCAGTAATCAGTAGTTTATCTTGTCTTTTTGGAATTAGGATTTAAAAAGAGAAAAAGGTATTACTGTTATATCAGTAACATGCAGTATGAATTGTTGGCTAGGTCCATTCTTTCTCTTTAAAAAAAAAAAAAAATTGGGTAGAAGACCCAATATGCAAACAGTCAATATTTGACAACATGGACTTACCAAATTACAAGAGAATACTATGGATGTATTCATATTTTTCTATATTGAATAAACAATGTAACATATACAATGTAAATAAAAGAGGTATGACCAGTACTTGTTTTTCCTTGTGTTAAGCAGATTACTTTCTAACTCTCCAAAGTAGTAGTATTATCATTTCCTATTAGTGCCAATAGACTAATGTCTGAAGTAAATGTGAAAACACTGATAAACATTCTAAAGTACCGACTTAGCTCTCACAGTTCTATGAGGAATATAAGGCTTAAATGGGGAAACAGATTGACCAGGGAGTCAAACCATGCAGTTTATTTAATTCCAGTGCCTGCTGCTTCCTATGGTGATAGCAACCTTGTTAATCACTCATTTCAAGTGAAGTACTCGGCACGCAGGCAGCGGTAGCTTTCTCCCATGTTCTATTTATGTTCTAGTGTAACCTATGGTAGACCTGCCATTAATAGTCTCTTTAAGCTTGAAGGTCAGTTCCTCTATAGAAATGTCCAGGTGTTCCCTGTGACCCTGTGTGGAGTATGATAGAGCAATTCAGATTTACTGAGCCATGACTAATAATGTTCACGACGTAAGTTGAGGAGACTGAAGAACTTGGTTAAATCACCTAGCACTGTTCTACATAACAACTAAAGAGACCTAAAAATGGCCCTTGACTAAAAAAAAAAAACCTTTCAACTGTCATTAGCAATAACACATACTGATGAAGAAAAACTGTTTTAAGCTCTTAAGGAGTTCTCTACCGTAAAAAGCATATTATTTGAGAGTAGAAAAACAGTATCCATGAGCTATGACAAGGCATCTAAAGGAATTTTAAGTTAGGTCCCCACGCTGCACCTTTTACACCAGGTTAGACACCCCTACTAAATACCTCAACTTTGTAAACACAAAGAAGCAACTCTCATATAACTGTAGAAACCAGTGTCACAGCTTGATGAAGCTGACAGTCGAGGCAGCCTGGCCCCTGTACTAGCCTAGGATGTAATAAGCATAGTTTTTTGAGGCAGCAGTCTTATAGCAGCTGGACATGACTACAAAGACAGTGGTAATTCAGTCCTAACCTACAAGGTAAAAATTGATTAGGTTCGCTGTTGAATAAAAGGAAAATGTCACTGATAGAGATTTAAAAGTATTTAATTGTCTTTCCATAAATCCACAATGTGATTCTTACACGTTATGTGCCACATAAAGCAGGTGTTACTTTTGGAGAAATGCAGGTGATACTGAGAAACAGCACTGAGGTATTTTTTATTTTTAAAGTTGAAGAAGAAAACAAAGTCTGGATCTAATTATTTTTACATTCAAAAAAAAA